CTCATTTCCATAGCAAACATGTCCTTCTTCATTTATTAATTGACTAATCCTTCTTGATTCTCTTTCATTTCTCAGTTTATAGGCTATCCATCTGCCTGGTTTATTTGCCTCTTCAAAGTAATTCTGTTTAGCATTTTTAATTTTTTGTGCTAGTTCCTCTTTTTTCATTAGTCCCATTTTATGTTTAATTATATCCATTTTATTTTTAATGTCTTTTTTTGTGGGAACTTCTGTAGATCATTTTCCAATCTTTTATAATCATCTTCCAATGTTTTGAAAGTCTTTTTCTGTTTTATATTTCTTTTCCTTGTATAGCCTATTATCAAGCCTCTTGTGTAGGCCTTCATCGTGTCCCAGAGGCTCTGTAGAAATGTATCCTCTTTTCTATTTTCTTTAAAAAAGAAAACAAGTTCTTTCTGTGTTTTCTGTTTAAAGCCTTTTTCTTTTAATATCATGTTATTTAGGGTCCATCTAGATCTCCTCTTATATCCTTTCCAAATAACTGTCACTGAATTATGGTCTGCCCAGGTGCTTGTTTCTATTTCAACCTCTCATATATTAGCCAGTAATTCTGCTGACATCAATATCATGTCTATTCTAGACCATGACACATGCCTGTTTGAGTAAAAAGTGTATGGCTTACTTTCTACATTTCTCTCTCTCCAAGAATTTTAAGTTAAATTCTTCATTTTTTTGAAAGAAAGATTTTGGTAGTATCTTTCTAGCTTTCTTTGTTGATTTCTGCATTTTATAGTACAACTGATCATTAACTATTCCATTAAGATCTCCCATCATACAAATATTAACATAGTCCACTTCAATTATTTTCATATGTAATTTCCTGTAAAATTCTTCTTAGTTATCATTCGCAGCAGAAATTGCAATTAAAATGTTTTAACATTATTATCCATTATTTCCACCATCAAAATCCTTCCATCATCATGTGTATAAATTAGTTCTGCCAAAATTGTGTCTTTAATATATAATACCACACCCCTTTTTTTAGATTGAGCCAGCAATGTAAATAGTTTCCCTAATTTTTTTGTTTCAATATATATTCATGTTGTTTTTTGATATGTACTTCTTGTAGGCAAATTATATCAAACTTTAATTTCTCTAATTTGTGAAATACTTTCCTTCTTTTAGTGGCCAAATTAAGCCCATTTATATCAATCGTAATCAATTTTCTTTTATCCATGTTAGGCTTTGTGAGGGGTTTTTATTGCTCTAGTAGGTCTTAATTATCATTGCTCTCTGGGTACACCACCTACTGCAACTTCTTTTTTTTTTTTTCAATTCTGCTATACGCTGCTCTTGGAATTCAATTAATGATTCTTCCTTTCTTGCTTCTTCCTCCTTTCCTCTAAAATATTCTAAGTAGAATAGCTCAGCTTTTTCAACTGTGTCAGTTCTGTGTCTTTGTTCCTTCCAGGTGAACAACAGGCCTTCTGGCATCAACCATCTGTAGTTTACTCCTCTTTTAAGTAACTCTTTGGTCAAAAATAAGTATTCTCTTCTAATCTCTTTTACTCTTCTTGGTACCTGTTTCAGCACCACAATTTCTTTGTCTTTATACTTTAAAGTTTTCTCTCTTGCCATCTGCAGTATCTGTGTCTTGATAATCTTTTTAGTCAAATCTGATGTGAACTTCTCTTGGTAGTCTGTTTCTCATTGCATATCTTGTATAGACATGGAACACTTTATCCATCCCGTCCATCATCTTTTCTTTGGTTATCTCTAATGTTTCTGCCAGTATTTTTGTCATTATTTCAGCAAGATTTTCACCTTTTCCTTCTTCTACATTTTGAAATCTTAAGTAGAATTCTGATCTATCCATTTCCCATCCTAATGGTTCACACCTGCCCTTCTCAACATCGCTCAATTGGGTATCATTATCTCCAATTTTCTTGTCTTCATATTTCATCATCATTTGTAGAATATTTTCTACTTTCTCATCTTTCTTTTCAGTTCTTTGCTCAATATTCTCCATTCTCTTTTCAATCTTCTGAATTCCTTGCATAATCATCTGTAATGACACTTCCTTCTCTTTCTCCTGTTGTAAGATTGTCTGTATTGACCCTTGTCCTCCAGATGGTGAAGAGGCTATTGGTACTGAGGAAGCTGGGGCTGTTGTCTTTCTGCTCATCTTGTAGTACTTATCTGTGAAGAAAGAAAGAGAAAAAAGGAAAAAGGAAAAAGAAAAAAAGAGTACAGGCAGGCAATTGCCACTCCAAAAAATAAAAAGGGTAAAAGAAAAATCTTCAGGCACTTGTATACCTTAGTCCAATTATTTCTCTTAATAAGAAGGACAAAAGGAAGAGGGCAAAAAAAGTAAAAAAAAATTACACTCTAGTTCCTGGAATAGAAGGTTGAAATCCAAATATAAAAATCCAACTGGAGGAGAAGTAAAAAGGGAGGTTAAAAATAATATAATGTGAAGCCAGCCACTGACACTGAGTATCCAAGGCTCTTTAATAAATCAACTCAAAGTTTCTAGTTCCAGTATTTTCAAGGTTACTTCAATCTTCTTTCTTTCAACTTCAATTCCAGACTCTAGTTATTTATAGTTTCACAGATGGGCACCTGCGTAAACAATCTGCCATGCTCATCCCACTATCTTTTCCAGTGCAAAGCTTAGAGTCCTTGAGTATAGCACAAGTACATAAACAAATAGAAGAAAAAAGAAACAATATATCAAAGCCTCTAGATGGCAGTGCTACTTTTTTCCTTCACTTTCACTCCCCCCTCATGTATCCAGTGCCAGAAACAAAAAGAGAAAATGAAATATTTCCTTTTGAAAAACAGAATAAATCTCAAATCAAAAAGAAGAGTCTTAATTAAAACAGACTTTCAAAAAATTGTTAAGAAAATAAAAAACAAAAATAGAAAATTTAAAAGAAACCAGTCCAGTTTAAAATTAAGAAGCTTTACCAAATTCAAGTTCCAATAAAAAGGGGAAAAGAACTTTCACTTTAACTAGCTTAATTTCGCCGCTTAAACTCTTTTCTCTTCACTTTTAATTTCACTTTAAATCTTTCAGGATGTTCTCTTTGAAAAATAATAAGTAAATGTTCATCTCACCAAACTTACACACTTTCTTTCAATCTCTTCCGTTCCGGAGCTGTCCCAGCTTCAGCAGCTTAAATGGCTGCCTCTCCGCTGCTGGCAAAAGGGCTTTTCCTGGATCAACCAGGGACTTTGCGATGTCCCTGGGATCGACAGGACATGCCCTTATCGATCACCGTCTCTATGGGATGGTTAAGGTCCATCGGGACCATCAACAGGGCGGTGATCTTGGAGGATAAAGATCATGCATTGTAGTGCTCCGACGCCAGCTCCACCCTCTCCCTCGTACTTGGTAGTTCCTTCTAAAGTAGAATAATATTAAGATGCTCAACAAAGATAGAGTATTATTCAATGTTTGTACATTAATTTGGAACACTATGAAAAATTGTATAAAGAACCCACACTAAAATCAAATATAGAGACTCCAAAATCTATATTCTTTTTCATATTTTTGTTAACTGAAACGATTTTTATAATTCAAAGTGGTGAAGAGCGCTAAACAAACATCAAAATACTACAAAATTGGGACACAGAAGGAATGGAAATACAGCAAGCAGCAATTTCTGTAAAATTATAGAGGTTGCTTGAAAACTCGTTAAAGGTAGTAGTTTTGTCTATCTAGCTAAACTATATGTGATTAGACCCTTCTCCCAAACTGTATATTTCATCATAGAACTGAACAAAAGGAAATCTTACATTCTTTTTCTTTTGCCAATTTTGTATTCATTGTTTTTCCAATCCTGTGGTGTGTGTGTGTGTGTGTTTACTCCTATTTCTAAAAAGAAAAAAAAATATAAGACTTAAATATCTATCATCTAAGGTACTCAAATTGTTATCTAGATTAGCTATTTTAAGTTTTCAGGAGATATCAAAAAGCTACTCTTTTTCTTTGTTTCTCTTTCCCACAGATAACTTTGGGACTTGTAAAGAAAACTGATGAAAATAATGTAGAAATAACTATTTAAAATATATTATTTCAGAGGGGAAAATCTCAGCAAGAATATATCAATGGCCTCCTTGGCATCAGTATTTAGAAATGCTTATGTGCTGTCCTAAAACATTTATGTATTCCTAAAGTATATTTCTAAATTAAACTATATGGCTACATATACAGGAACCAAAGCTTCGATTTTCCAATATATAGAGTATTTCAAAAAGTACCAAAGAGACTTTTTTTTAAAAAAAAATCTTTATTATTCTTAAATAGTAAAAGCTAGTCCCAGTTTTTAGACATCATATATGATTAACTAATAATATTTTTTTTAAAAAAATGTTTGCTTTAGATGATGTTATACTTGTTCCAACATAGAAAAGATATTAGCTCCAATGCTAGCAAAATGGAAGGTATGCCTTTGCTAAATTAGCACTATAGTTCCAATGAATTGTAATTCAATAATTATAAGCTGGCATGAAAAAAAATGTCTTTGTAAAGCAGAGTAATTCTGACACATGGTGAATACTAATCTCCTATGGCTACCAAATGGGAATAACTACTGTGGTGCCATGGAAGAATTTCATTAAGAAAGAAAAGATTCAGTTTATTATTTAGTTTATTGATCAGCTAAAATAGTCTCTATCTTTTAGTTTAACTTACTGGGGTGATAAAATAAGTGGAAAAAAATTACACTGTTGGGTATCCTCTTCCATTCATCACTTTTTAGTCAAAGAAACAAGTTGCTAAGTTTAATAAGTCTGGCTTAAAATTAGAAAATGTATGCAGTTATAGTATTGTAATGCGCACGCACACACATATTGTTTTTGTTAGTTGCAAAGTCATGTCTCACCCATCATGACCTCCAGGCCTTCCTATCCTTTACCATGCCCCAAAGTCCGTTTAAGTTCAACATACATAAATAAAACAGCCAATAAATTAATTATACCCTTCATTGTAAGAAAAAGGCCTGTGATAGGTGAAATACTATTTTTTTACTTACCAGTAGAATCTATTTGGGGTTATGGATTCTTGTAGAAGTAGCCATCTTCTTCCAAATTCAACTGAACTGTACAACTAAGAAGAAATGTTAAAAGAAATATAGTGTTTTAATCTTCTGCCAAACATTCATCCTGTTTTAATTCTCTTAAAGCTTTATGATGTGAATGATTACCTAGATTGTTTTTAAATCTCAGTCTCCTTTTATCACACCTTTCAAGAAGGTTTACAAAATATTGTCTAAAGAAGTGCTCTTGATAATTCAAAAATATGCTCTATAAAATGTTTCTTTTTAATTATTTCCTCTCAACGTTAGCCGTCTAACGTGAAAATGTGTGCAGCAACAATTCTGCCCAAATCAGAAATGATTTGCTCTAACATGAGATGACAAAATACACTGATCGTTGTTATAGGTTTTATTTAGAATGGGTCAATCACTCAAACAAATGTCCTTGTTATATCTGACATAGATTTAACAATGGGACGGTAGGACACAATTTTTCTATCTGCAACTTCTTCCATTTTACCCTAGATTCACCAAAATGTTATTTCTTGAAAACTGAGTGGTTTTTTTTTTAATGTCTCACTTCCATGTCTTTTAGAAAGTCTTTGGAATTTGAAGTGATGGAAGTTGTCAATAGGGATATATTATTGGAAGACAGTAGCTGCTCCATGAGGGCATTCTTCTTTGGAATATAACTGCAAGTTGAGAAACATTGGGAAAGAAACATACAAATAAAATGAGAGTACAGGTAGTCCTTGACATACAACAGTTCATTTAGTGACTGTTCAAAGTTACAATAGCATTGAAAAAAGTGACTGATGTCCATTTTTCACATTTATAACCATATCAGCGTCCCCAGGGTCATGAGATTTACATTTGGATGCTTGACAACTAACTCATGTTTATGACAATTGCAGTTTCCTAGAGTTATGTAATCCTATTGTTGTGACCTTCTAACAAGCAAAGTCAGTGACAAAACCAGATTCAGTTAACTACCATGTTTTTAATTTAATTTAATTTAATTTAATTTAATTTAATTTAATTTAATTTAAGAATTTCAGTGATTCATGTGACAAATGTGGTGAGAAAAGTCATGAAATGAACAAATTTTTCACTTAGCAACATAAGTTTTGGGCTCAATTGTGGTCATAAGCTAAGGACTACTTGTACTAGTAGAACTACATCTCCCATCCATAATAAATTTAGATTATTATTATTATTTGCTTTAAGGAAAAAAACAATTTTAAGTTATTAACTGAGAAGAACTGGGGAGAATGCTGAATAATTTCAGGCTTGGTTTCGTCCTTAACTAACAATATATTTCTCCAATTTTTATCTTTTTTACTTTAGCAAGTATACCTGTACCATACAGCTGTTCCTATCACATTATCCAGATTCCTTTAATCATGATAACAGAATCCTACAGCTACTATGTCTGATGTCACATCCTGCTGATTTCTCAGTTGTGACAGCTGGTGATGTCAGTACAACCCTTTACTTTTGGGGGGTGGGGGGAAATAGCTGTAAATTGAAAGCGAAGAAAGGTAGGGATAACTCCAACTGAGTAAATCCCAGAATAGTGAACTTCATTAGCCACCATTCATCTGGGAATGTTTTTGCTGAGTTGACCAAAAACTCTTGTTTAAACAATGGGTTCTACTGTGGGGAATGACCCAGTTAACAATGTGCTGTCAACCATGCTAATTATATAACTTAATGCAGAAGAAATCTCAATTCCCTTATGTTCAGAAGACTATGGGCAACAGGAATAAAAATAATTGACAGTACTGTCACAATGAAAAGACTTTAAAGTTTCAACAATACAGAATTTTGTAAACCTGGAAATTTGGATCTTAATCTGTGTCAGATACAAATGATAGAATACTTGGCCAGAAAGAATTGCTTTACATTTTTCAGCAGCTTTCTCAGAAGGTTTGGAAGAGACTGTATAACAGATTATCTTTATAGTTGGATCAAGACAATGAGCTCCTGTAATGGGATTTCAATTGTCCTGATTTTTCATTTGCTGGGGAAAAGCAGACAAGTCAGCTGCAATTAAGCAGGAAGAAAGGAAGAAGTGACCTATTGATCACCACTAAAAATGACTCTGTAGAAACACAATGAACTTAAAATGGTAGAATGTATTTATTTATTAATCAAATTTATCTCTCGCAGTTATGTTGTTACCTATATGGACAATGAAACACTTGCATGCAAACAATCAAGCTCTGAGAGCATCAAGAACTCCACAGTTCATTCCTGAACCACATATATTTACTTATATAGGAACTTTTATTTTAAATTTGGTGGCGGGAATAAAAAGGAGTTAAACTAATAAAAATAGGGATGATAAAAAACTGCAACTAAATATCAAACAATGACAAACAAAGAATAGAATGATCTACTCCAAGGGTTAGGGTTTTATGAAGATGAAAAATACTCACTGATTGTTTACTCATATCAATGTGAGAAAAAGCCCATTATAACACTGGAAAGAAATGTGTCTAATATTTGAGACTGCAAAGCCAGAAAGTCCACTGAATTAACAAATTGTCTTCAAAACTATCCAAATGAATTGGAGGCACTGGATTTGATCTGATATCTCCAATCATTTTGGAAATATGATTCAAATATTGAATCTGAATTGAATCATTCCTTAGAATATTTGCATTATCCAAGAATCCCATCATATCCAACCAGATTCTATGAGAAGCCCCTATTTTATTTTCTTCAATAATGGATACTTTGTGGGATTGACATATGATTGTGGGTAAATGCTCTATTCAAATGGTATTCAAACTGTATTTATAAAAAAAAAACCAAATATTGAAATGGCTATGAAACAGAATTGTGTGTCAGGTTAAATCTACTCAACCTTCACAAATTTAACCTTAACTAAGACATCAGATAAATAAAAAGTTTTAACAGGGAGTTTTTGTCAAACATTTGCTGGGGAATCATATTATTGTGACTAGGTAGAAAATTGGTTGAATGGAAATAACCTAGCCATGTTTTTAATCCTTCAGAAATGTACATTGGCAATTTGTCTTTCAGTTGTTTATACTGCTTTATAAAAGTGACAACGTGTTGCTTTTTAAAAAAATGTTTTAACTACAAAATCAGATAAACCATAAACAATTGTCTTCATGTTGTTGTTAGTTTTTAAATTTGTCAATTGCTTACAAGATAATAGGTATAAGTAAAAACATAGTTATGAATACATCGATACATATAAGAAAAATAAAAAAATATATAAAAGAAATAATAGGTTAGGGACGATAGGCACGATGGTGCACTTATGCACGCCCCCTACCGACCCCTTAGGAAAGGGGTGAGGTCAATAGTAGACAGTCTAAGGTTAAAGTTTTTGAGGTTTGGGGAAAAAAACCACAGCGTTAGGTAAAGAATTCCAGACATTGACCATTCTGTTGCTGAAGTCGTATTTCCTGCAATCAAGTTTGGTGCGAGTTTGTATCTATTGTTTGCTCTTGTGTTGTTATGGTTGAAGCTGAAGTATTCATTGACTGGTAGGACATTGCAATGTATTTTATATACTATACTTAGGTCGGACCAAAGGCGGCGTAGTTCTAGGAAGTTGGCAATTCTTCACTGTTTGATTAAATTGCAGAATATGCATGCTAGAAACAAATACTATTTCACTATTGATGGGCAAGTTTCTTTTCTTTTCCTTCAAATATAAAAAATAGTAAGTATAGGTGTTACACAGAGCATAGACTGAATTAACACCTCAAGATCTTGTCTTCCGTGGAATCACCTATTCCACCCCATCTTCCCTCCCCAGTATTATGGGAAAATGTATGACAACTATTTATCTATGCACAGATAATCTGTATCCTTCATTATTCTAAACTGCATTTGTACCATAATATTACATACCACTATAAATTCATGTTTGTTATTCTAGAGGTGTACAAAGTATGGGCATGAAATAGTTTGAGCTACGAAAGTCATCAATTAGAGGTTGATGACATTTCTACTATTATATTACTTTGAGCTGTGACACTGAAATGAATGAGATTTTTATGAGATCTTGCATTTATTTCCAAAGATCCATGCAGGAAAATTATTCATTGGTTGTCACCAATTTAAAGATTGTGAAAAGGAGCAGAAGGAGAGAACAATTTGGAAAAGAACAGGTGAAAACTGTTACATGGAAGTATATAATTATTATGTTGAGATTTTGTGTACCAACGTAACAGTCTACATTGATTTAGAAAGATGGAATATTTCATTGGTATATTTCTTATGATATGAGAACACCCTCTGGTTTTGAAGTAGACACTCATCTTAAATTTAGAGGGAAACTACTTGGAAACTCTTTGAAAAATGTAAAAAATAAGATTAGGAAAAAGGAATTTCAAAGTGAAAGAGTACACAATTATACTACTGAGCACAGATAGACATGCAGACACAGTCCTTCTTTGGACAGAGAAGATGGCTAAATGATTTTAGGTGAGTTACTGTTTCTTAGTCTCAGTCAAATGAAGTTAAAAAATATACCTATCCACCAACCTGAATTGGATCAGGATGGTTGATTTCAGGTAATAAGCCTTCATTTAAGTGCATGTGTACATATGAGTATGTGTGTGAGTAATTTCATTATTGTCCTGTTTTATTAAACAAATAAAGGTTAAAAATAATTGATAGAAGTGTTTTGAAAGATGTACAAAGATGTGTGTGTGTATTTGTGTGCGCGTGTGTGTGCATGTGTGTGTAATCAATTTAAAGATGTAGCAGTAGAAAGGGCATTTATTTTTAAAAATAAATCACTGGTTTAAAACAAATTACCTTTGATTTGTGGTAAGCAAGCAGGCAATGATTACAAAAGTTCCCATAAGAGATTGTTGCTTAATATTCAAGGTATCTTGGGAGCATCCACCTGGCCAAACCTCAGGGTAATTTTCTGAGTTTTCATGCATATCCATGAGCAAACTGTTTTGTGGTAGTTCTTTAGTTCCATCAGGTGAATAATTCAACCATGAAGGTATTCAGGTGATCGTCATCATCTCCTTCCCCAGCTTAGAGCAAGGCCAATATTTCAAAAAGACACGGAAATAACTTTCTCAGATTGTGTGATGATGCTCTAATACCTTACAATTTTGAAAAAAAAAAAATATAGTATACTAAACTATAATTTTATATTTCTGATGCTAGGCTTTTGGTAACTTCTTTTAGGCAAGATTTTTTTAAATGTGAAAGATTTTTTAAAATACAATAGTACTTTAAAAAATACGCTTTAATGAGAACAACAACAAAGAAAACTACTAGCTTTTATTTATATTTGAAATGACATAAGTGCATACCACAAACTATATATACTATAGACAGTAACTATAAATATATAGTCAGAACCAAATAACCAAATATGACAGTAACCCTAAAAAAATGATAAAAAGGAAAAAAAGAAAAAGGGGGAAACAAAAATGAAAACCAGAAAAAGTTACAAAAGCCTAGCATCAGAAATAAAAGAACAACAAAAATCTAGATCAGACGTTTGATTACTGAGAAATATTTTCTTTAAAGTGATAATTGTGCAAAAACATGATTGTAGTTATATCTTTGAGGTACAGGTGAAGATTAGGGAGCACAAATAACCTGAAAGTTTGATCTTTCAGATTGAGAAAAACATCTTCCCAATTTTCAGTTTCTATCTAATTTTTTGCTGATGAATAGCATTTATATTCTGTTACATTCCTTCCCTTCATTCAATCAGAGTAGATCAACAGCAGGACATATATCAGTGAGATAAAATCCAGAGTGAGGTGTTATTTCTTCAGGATCAAAACAGAAGTAAAGCTTTCTTTCTATCTTATGTTCCTTCCTTTCTAAAATGTAGAAGATGGCCATTAAAAAAGTCCAAAAAAGTCCAAATATTGTTTTATATATTTCATGTATAAAACAAATTCTTTGCAGGCTAGTCATACTCTAGTTCAGGGCTGTCAAATTTCCGGCCTGCAAGCCAGATATGTCATGCGCTGGCCACGCCCATGCCCAGTTTAGTGAAGGGGGGAAAACTCCCAATTCTTCACGTGACACTGCTGTGACAATGTGAGTTTGACACTCCTCCTTTAGTTCTTTCTGAAATGGCCTTGATCATGTGATAATTATATCTTCAAATGATCAAACTTGGATATAATAAGTTACAAAGAAATTTCATCACAAAGCAATCAGTAGTGTGCTGTTTTCTCTAACAATTACAACAATTGAAAGAGAGCCCAAAAGTTTACATGTGACATCATTTGTGCTTTTAAAAATAATATATTTCATTTCTCCAACCTGACATATTTCTTCATATAAAAATTCATTGAAAAATATACCAGATTGTCTTCAATTGGTCAGCAAATGGTGACCATTTGACTATACTGTTTATTTTTAAACTGGCTATACAGTAATCTATACTTCTTCCCCTTTATCTACCTATAATGAAATTTAGGTACAGTTCAATATTTTCCCCTTAAATTTAGGTGAAATAGAAAAAGCAAACTGAGTGACTTCAGATGGTATTTTAGCAGGTCCGTAGCCATCTCTTGCTTATTTCTCAGTGATAGTCAGAGATTAACTTTGAACCTGGCAGTTCATTATCAGCTGAGATCTAATAATGTTTTTCTGGAATTTGTCTAATCATTTTTATAGATTAAGTACATATGTACTTATCACTGCCACTGCCATAACAGGTTGCGAAATAGAGGAACTGATTTTCTTCCATGCAAGAATAAATGGAAGTAACAAGGGGCCAATTCTATGGTTATTATCTACAGAACTTGGACAGACTACCACATGGAAGTCTATTTGACAGAATAATTGAAAAACACTTTCATTGGATATGTATGGAATATGGCTTTATGAAAACTAAGGAATAAATTCCCAATGGTGTTTCTCAGTGACATTAATGGTAGATTTTTGTTTCCATGTTTTTAGTTTTGATGCTGTTCAATCCAACAGACTGAACCACTTACAGAGTAAAAGCAATGACATACAATAATTGAAACCTGAACAAATTGCAAAATAACTGCAAAATAATTATAAGATAAATACCGGATAATTACAAGATGGTAATCCAGACAATTACCATCTAAAGATATAAAACATCACAAATAGGAGAATCTCAACACAACCTGGAAAGGTTTTCAAGGTCTTACAGAATGCCCTCAAATGCCATATGGATCTCTTCATTTCACTATCTTGTAAAATACAAGAGTGATTTTTATAATTGTCATATATAGAAATATGTTTCTTTTGTTGTTAGTAAAATAAATTCAAAATTATTATGTTTACTTTGACATTTTTATTTTTCCTTTGGCAATTTTGTCTCCTCCCCTTCATTTAATCTTTCTTTTCACCTTTGAACTCTGCCATATTTATAAAATGAGCCATTTGCTGAAAACTTATGAGAAGAAACTGAGTATTTCTTTCATTTTTGTCCTCGCAAAATTGCTCATAAACCTTGTTCGGAAAGAAAGGGATAGAAATAAATTTGATACTTGGAGACAGCCAATTTGAAAAGTGCCTATTTTTCTTACAGTAAAGCCAATTTGTTCATGCTCAGATATTTTGCCCTGCTATATGACAGAAAGCTTTTTTTTTAGGGTGGTGTTTCAAAATTCTAATAGAATTGACTTGATTTAAACCTTCTAGAGCAGGGTTGTCAAACTCCCAGCCAACCAGCCAGATGTGTCATGCACTGGCCACACCCACGCCCAATTTAGCAAAGGGGAAAAATGTCCAGATACATCATGTGACATTGCTGTGATGACGTGAGTTTGACACCCTGTTCTAGAGTAAACTAATTCAGTTAACCAGCAGGATTTCTACCTCTGAATATTCAAATATTTTGGATGATACTGATGACCTTTGCCAATTCTACATTCTTCAAATATTTGAGTCAAATATTATGATAAATCAGCTTACATTATTTTATTAAATGATCTGAAGACATAGAGAACTAAATGCCTACATTACCTACACAAGTATGTGAATTATTTTCCATGTTGTCAGAAAAAGAAGCCTGGTGCAAAACTCTTCCTTAACCAATCTGTGGCTAAAGGAAATACTCGAAGACTAAAGACAGGCTGGGATAAATTTGTTTTACCTGAGGTAAAACAAATATCAGTGCTGCTAATTTCCACTACTGCTTTCTTATCATTTTAATTCGCCTGCCTACTAGCCTTTTCATTGGCCTAATTGCCAGTCATTTGACATTCTTCCATTCATCTATTTTATCTACCCTCCACATTCAGCACAGTGTAGGTGTCTCACTTACAAAGTAATTCAGGGCAGGGATGGACAACCAATAGCAACCTACAGATGGCATTTAACAATTTCTGGAACCAAAAGGTAAAGTTATGATGCAAAATGGCTGAAATCAGGATTTTCTTGCTCTTGTCATTTTTCTGGGAAGAAGTTTGAAGTTTTTGTTTCATAAATCATCATAATTTATGGAGTTTTTTTTTCTACAAAGTGCTTGAAATTATAATTGGGTATCTTTTCCTTCCCAAAAACCATAAGAAACTCTGCTCTCAAATCATGGTTTAGGAGACATGTAACCCTCTTCCCCCCCAAAAGGGAGTTGGAAGCAATACAGAAGTATTGCTTGCCATTCCAGTGCTCCAGGTTGCCTACTTCTACATTAAAAGATAGACATTTAACATGATATACATTCTAGAAAAATTGTGTACTACCTATCCTGCAAAGACATATTGAGTAAAGCATAAACCAACTTCCATGTTTACTCTAGGGCTACTTCAATTAATGAGGAATTGACCAGGTAAGACTCTCTGGAATGATGAGTTGCCTTGATTTCCAGAGCTTTATGCCTATTCCAATTTGAATGTGACACAAGAACAAAATAATTAAATACGTGAATAGATACTAACTGCATTGATTTAATTAGATGTAGAAGTTAAAGAAATTAAATAAGTTTTGATTCCTCTACTTTTTAGACTTGCAAATCTAATGTACTCTTCAATATATGTTGAGCACTTGGTTATTTTATGGAGCAGTTAGAGGAAGTAAATGTCAGGTATATCCTTTGAATCTCCTGTCTTTCCTGATATGCAAGCTGTTAACTGACACTTTATTCTGTCCAGCAATACATTTAGCCCTAGTAGAGCATAAAAGTAATATTAACCTTCTGATCCTGACTGTATGCCAAAATCCAGTCCTCCTGCTTGGGATGAAAGAGCATGCTATGGATGTAGAAGTTCAACCGGTATTTTTGATAGGTGGCTCCTTCATCAGAACTGATCAGCAGGCTGCTCTCAATCTCAGGATCCGTAAGCAACATAATCTGTACAGATAAAACAGAGGGGAACTGGAATTTGAAACAAGAAAAAGATGTAACAAACATTCTGAAATGTGTAGAAAATCACTGTTGTGAAATATTATTTAAGTGGGATCCATATAGCTGTACATAGCTACCCAAATGTAGACAAAGGAAAGATGGTGTTCTAAATGGAAAGGGATAGAGTGGGGGTGTCAAACTCAATCCTATTGCAAGCCATATCAAGATAACTTTCTTCATCTGGTATTTCCTTTGATCATTATCACATTAAACACAAGACAAAAGAAGGAAAAGATTAGAGAATGTCATTCAAATCATAGCACATTCTCCAAAATTCACAAAAAGGATAAAAGCCTGAAGGTATTTTCAAGTACCAAAAAGTACAAAGCCTTTTCTAGCCGATTCTGAAAATTTTGGATCAGCACATGAGTTTCCAGTACGATATCAAGGCAAGCTCTACATATATTATCAGTGATTACTTTTGCTTTAATTTAAAGATGTAATTTAAATTGTATCACATTCTACCACTCCCCATATATCGGTCCCCTATGCTATCATTCTTTCCATAGGAACCTTTTCTTTCTCACAATAACCTCTGGAAAGCTATAAAGATTTGAAGTTTTTTCTTAAAGAAATAAATCAGAGTCTTTCATAGATATCCCACATAATAAGTACTGTACCCAGAACTCTTGAAATACAGAAATTCATATAAAAGCTTCTACTTCCACTGTAGAAAGCAGACATCACATCTTCTTATCATTTTGTAGCAATTTATTATGACTATCCCTCATTTCTTGAGCTTTCATACTAAAGGAGGCTATATAAGTGTGATGGTGAACCTACGGCATGCGTGCCACAGGTGGCACAAAGAGCCTCTCTTTGGGCACACCAGCCATTGCCCCAGCTCCACTGTGCATGCACACATGCCTCCCATTGGTCTTCGGGTCTCTGCTGCGCATGCATGGGGATCGGGGCTTCCCCAATCTCTGAAGTTTCCCCCCCTAGCATGCTCTATCTTTCTTCCCCCAGTGCACCCTAGCTTTTTCCTGTATTCCTGCTGCCTGTGCCTTCTCCAATCTCCACAATTTCCACCCTCCACAGGTACCTCTCCATGGCAGGAATGAAGAAGAAAGCTAGGGCGCACTGGGTGAAGAAACTGCAGAGATCGGGGAAGGCACCAGAGGCAGGAATGCAGGGGAAATCTAGGACATGATGGGGAGAGAAACTGCAGAGATTGCAAAGTCCCCATGCCTTGTTTTGGGCCTGAAAAGCCCCAATCTGGAAGCCAAAATTGTGGGGGGGGGACATGTGCCAGGAACATGTGCACATCTTCAGAGGCAGGGCACGTGCATGAGGGTGCTCGCATTGCATTTTGGGGATTGGGGCACGCATTTTGGGGATTGGGGCATGCGTGCTTTGGGCACTCGGCACCAAAAAGGTTAAGCATCACTGCTACATAAATAAAGTTAGACATAGTAGTCTCTGGATTTTGACTTTTATGTCCAGTAGATACCAGTCCCTTGGTTTTTCCTCTATGCTTGTTTTATTTTTTTCTCTGTTATTTCAAAAAATCACTTTATACAAGATCCCGGAATCTGGATAAATAAATGCTAAAATTGGATTCTTTACTATACTAACAATACACATGGAAGACATAGAATATTATCCAAACCAAGTGACTGCCACTTCCAGGCTCTTCTGTTCTACACTCAGATAATAGTATTTTAGTTTTTGATCATAGGCAATTACTACAAGAAATTGTATGCCTATAAGAAAGTTGAATATATTGAAGGGTTTTCTTTAAAAAAAAATAGGGACTATTTTGTCAAAAAAAAAAAACCCTAAAAAAATCTGACTACAATCCACAGTCAGCTTCATAAAAGGCACATAGTCATTGGCATTATACTAAGTAGATATATTTCAGCATAACATCATGTTGAATGACATCAACAGTGCCAAGATTCCATCCCTTCCCACCCAAACCCATGGATTGACAGATGGTTAGCTTCATTATTCAAAATAGCTTTAAAATGAATATGTAATAGGTACCCCTTAATTTCATTTAATATTGCAATTAGCATATTAATTTATTTTATTCTCTCTGCACTGGGCATATACATATATGGATGTGCATGCACTACAGACATAGTTATTAAATGGAATAAATATTCTGGATTTGATGTTCTATTGGATAGAAATAATGTATATGCATAGTAATACATAATATTCTAAGTAGTTGGAACTGGAAGTCTCTTCAGCAGTTGTGATGTGAATTCAGATGTACCCATACTTAGATAAGTTCCAATGAAATGCAACATAGATTTCAGAATGATTATTCTAAATAAGCACAAATTTGAGAAACAAAACTTAGAAGTCTTTCTGAGTTGGATTCAGGCACATTATTACTGTTATATAGTATATCAGAAACTCGTGGCATTTTTATGATTAATATTATTATGGCATCATTTTCACTGATTCCTAGTAACTTCACAAATACATGAAATAAGCAGATTATAAGCCCTGTTGTAAAGGAAGGGAGATAAATGTGGACAATGAAAATAACAGTGAATGAAATGCAAAATAAATGGATAATTAAAAGTTATTAATTTGATCTATATATAGTCATATTTAGACTAGACTGGATGTGGGTTATTCTCTAGCAACAAGGGCTGCAAAAGAGCACTAGGAATATACAACATTTTATTATGATACAAAAAGATTTGCGGGAAGTTTTTTTTCCAATTCTGTTGTTGCTCTGTTGTTGGACCATACTTAATCAGAATGTGCCCACCTCATTTTTTGTTCTTTCTAATTTCATGATTCATTTGATCATAACATGTAATTATTATCAACCTGTGGATCCCTGCTTTCGCACAAATCTATAACAAATTAAATTATGCCAATATATTTCTGATATACAGAACTTTTTCACTTTTTCCTTTTTAATTAAAACTACACCTTCATCTGGCTGCATGTATGCATCCATCAATGTCATTCAATGGCACTGGATCACTTTCATTTGGATCTATTACACCCTTGCTCTCTTGCTTAGTTTTACAACCATTCTGTCAGAACCAAGAAAGAAATGAGGAGTTACTTCTGAGTAGTTTCTTTTATTGTTCCTCTACTATAGACAGCAAAACAAAACCAAAAAAAATTCCCAACTAAAGCAACTATTTGCATAACTACAAATATATTCTGAGAGTCATTAGGAAGGTCTGTTTTAACCTTCTTCCTCCTTAGTGCTCTCAGAGTATAACTGTAGTAATGCAAATAGTTGCTTTAGTTGGGCAAACATTTTGGTTTGGTTTTACTGCAGGTTCCATTCTGGGAATCCAGATTACATTCCACCATACATACAGCATACCTATTTCATTTATTCATTTCATTAAGGAATTACTCTCCTGATTATTCATTCTTATTATATTCCAAGCACAAGCTTCCATGTACCATCAGATATTGATAGTGTATGAATATTGATAGAGAGACAGAAACAAGGAGACCATGAGTTCTAGTGACAAGTCAGTCTTAGCACAGATCTTGTGCGTGTCCCTCTCTCTCTGAGCCCTATGAAGGAGGCAACAGCAAACCATCTGAAATATTTTCAAGAAAATTGCAGGGATTTATGTAGGCAGTCACCAGGAGTTAAGAAGGAGGAGGAGAAAGAGAAGGAATGGGAAGAGGAAAAAGAGGAGAAGGAGGGGTGGAAGGAAAGAAGTTAACATACTGTATGCTGTTCCTCAAACTTCTTTCTTTATGTTTTCACATAATGCAGTTTAATAATATAGAGAACAGTGGTGGGATTCAATTTTTTTACTACCGGTTCTGTGGGTGTGGCTTGGTGTATGTGGTTAGGTGGGCATGGACATGTGACTGGGTGGGCGTGGCTTTTTTTTTCTTTTTGCAGCCATCCCCCACCCATTTTGGGGGGCTTCTGGGCCTTAGAGGAGCCTTTGCGGGGGCCTTTTTACTCCCAGAAGGCCCCTTTGGGGCTCCAGAAGAAGAAAAATGGAGCCTGGAGGGTGTGTGCAGCACCACCGTAGCTCTGTTTTGGGACCTTCCTGGAACCTCTGGGAAGGGGCGTTTTTGTTCCCAGAAGGCTTTCTGGGGCTCAGGAAGAAAAAAAATGGGGGGGGGGACTTATCCCCTCCCTCCATTTTTTGCCTTCCTGGGCCTCAGCAAGGGGAATCCTGACACAGCTGATCGTATGAATAGCTGATTGTCGGAAGGAGGAAAAAAAAGAAATACCTTAAGGGGCAAGCATCAGGCAGGTCGGGTAAGTAAGCATCGGGCAGGTGGGGCAAGCAAGCCAGCAGTGACCAGGTCAAGGACATGGTCAGTCAGAACTTACTACCGGTTGGGTGACCCATGCCAAATCCTTGCTACCAGTTCACCTGATCTAGTGCGAACCGGCTGAATACCACCGATAGAGAAGCTGTCAATCAGGTTACTAGCCTTAGTTGCAGCTGAATGAATGTCACATTACTTAGTAACAGGAAAGACATTTATGTCAACTCAGTCAGTTTGACATATTTTGGTTAGGATGCCACAAGCACATTCATAGCCTAGCTTATCCATGGGCATTATGGTATTTGTTGCAAACGAAAATTTCTAATATAGAGATTATACTGCAGGGTTGCAAGTTTTTTCTTACATCCAAATAGGACATATGTGCAGTGCATGGCACACAATGCATTTTAATAGTCCTATAATGAAGTCTATGGAACTAAATCATGAGTGGTCTTGGCTACCTGAGTAACCAACTTTCTATCATAAACTGAAATTCCATGTGCACGAAGACCAGATAAATGAGCAGAAACAAAGGCATGGAAAATATTTTATTATAATATTACAAGTTATTAACTATCTGTCTATAATTTATAGAGAATCATATTGACTGCATCAGTGCCAATGCAGCAATTTTGGTATACACACTGACACAGCAATTGGTACAAATATTTCCGAAGGATAGTTTATAGCAACATAAGTAAAACCATAATTAACTA